CACTATATCAAACACTCATATGTACCGTTGCTGTACTTTTTCCTTATCTAGAAATCGAGAAAAAGAATTTTTTTTAGTTTTTACAAAAACGAAGCTATGCTATTTCTTTTTATGTAGCTGTATACTACAAGCCCTTACAAGTATAACTGTAAATTTTCAGCTTCCCAGAAGCCCTAGTTTTCGAGAAATGCCAAATTTGGCTTTTATCACTCGGGTGCTCAATGCTAAATTAGGTATTTCTCGAAAACTAGGGCTTCTGGGAAGCTGAAAATTTACAGTTATACTTGTAAGGGCTTGTAGTATACAGCTACATAAATAGAAACAGCATAGCTTCGTTTTTGTAAAAACTAAAAAAAATTCTTTTTCTCGATTTCTAGATAAGGAAAAAGTACAGCAACGGTACATATGAGTGTTTGATATAGTGGGCAATTTTTATGAGCAAGTTGGAGATCCGTAGGATTTGTTTAAACAAAGATATGAATTTTTCGCGATTTTTTGAATTTCAGTACGACTCACATTTTGGCTGCAAACTTACGGTGGTTCGGAGCTGGTGCGAACTTTTGCAGACCATTTTGTAGAGCTTGCTTTGCTCTATCGGTTGGTACCCTGAAGTCCTGCAAAGACTATGAGGTGTATGACTTATCGCCGTTAGAAGTTAAGTGTAACAAGACTTATGTCACAACCTAATACTTCTAAGTTTAAGCTTAAGTAATTCAGATTCAGTCTTAATGGACTTTTGTTTGGGAATATTGTAAAAGCTAGACACTTCTTGTGCAGGAACTATGTTGGCGAATTGTGGCAAATCAATTTGTCAACGGGAACACTAAATTTCTGTTTCGATGCTAACTCAGTTAGCACCAGATTCCATCCAAATTTTCTTTCTATTTTAGATTGAAATGCTGGAATATTGATAAAAGTCAGTTTTGCTGTTGTTTCTCTTTTTACCACTTACTTTATCTCAAGAAAAACTTGATGACCAGTGATCGACTGCAACATTCCTCATAAATAAGAAAATGTGTATGATATGCATCAAAGTTCCTTATACAACTCTGAATAAATTTTTGATAATTTTTTGATGATGGGACACTGTGATAGGCCGTTGGTGCTTTCAAGCTTTCCAGAAATTTTATATTCTAAGAAAGGAAGCACAGATGTACTGCTTGCGGTTGTTTTCATAAGAAAGTCGACAAAGCACACAAGTGTGATGTCAGAAATCCGCTAAAAGGGGCAGTTACGAGAAATCGGGCGGCATGTTTGCCGCGTGCAACAATCACGAACCTATTTAAAAGGGGAAGCAAGGCACAATCAGAGCCGCATTGAAGCACTGCGTCGTGGCAACGTTATGTATTCAAGAGTCGCAATATGATTTCAGCGAGAGCCACGAAAATTCCGAGGTTTTCACTACTGAAGTCGTAAACAACCAGTTTTCGCGTTGTGGATTTTCCAATTTTGCAAAACTGAGTTTACGGCAGGGAAATTTGCAGGACAATGTCAACAAATCAAGCTACTTTGTGCGTCTTACTGTAAGTGCCCTGCCCTACCACTAAATGATAAGTATTGCATTCTGTACATAAAAGAACATCTCTGCATTGGCTTGTAAATTAGAAACAGTATCTAGCCTGCTGAGATGTAACCTCTTGAAGGTCAAACATAATCTTGTGACTTTGAAAAAAGGTTTCAAGCGAAACCGCTGATACTCACTACCCTATTTTCCGGCGTATAAGCCGCAATTATTCTCGTCGCGCGCGGGCTTATGCGAGATGATGGTCGCGATGTGCGAAGCCGCGCAAGCAGCCAACTACCACCTATTTTACCTAGTAGCCTGATTGTAACTTTCTGCTTTCGCTCTTTCTTGTGGAAGCATTGAAAGCACCATTGAAACATCAACATCATCATCAACAATCATTAAAATCGATTAAAATAGCAGCAGCTTTAACCTCAGTAACATCTTTAAAAACAAAAGGAAATACGGTCAACTCCATTGTATCTTTGAGGAAAAAACACAACCCAAACACCCCAAAGTCGTCCGAATCTCTGGAAAGAATAAAGAAATATCTGAAAACGTGAACATGCGCAATGAAAAACAGTCACAAAATGCAGCGAGTTTTCAGTTTGTTAGATCAAAACTTTCTTTTCGAAGGCTCTTTCGCGCCATTGTTCGCTGCGGCGGGTGCGGCTTATATAAGGTGCGGCTTATAAACCGGAAAATAGGGTATAAAAGTAGTCGTGTACTCTGAAATCTTCTGTCATAGAGACGAAACTGGTGCTTTTAGTGTTACGAGTTATTCGGCTTTAGCCGTTCAAGCAAGACCACGTAGTTCCCAGCAAAGTAAGGGAAAAAGGTCTAAAAATCTAAAGGTTTCGAAACTGAATTTCTAGACTGACCAGTACTGTGAAGTGCTAAACATAGTATTATTTTCTCCTTTCGGAAAAAGGCAAAAAACATGTCCGCCATAGAGACCCTTTCTGCGATTGGCATCAAAAATGAGCGTGATGTTTGTTTTTGCAAAATTGTCGTTCCTTGGATAAAAGCTTTTTCAAAGAAAATGATTTGCACTTGTCACTCACGCTTTAACATTCAACTTGACAGCCTGTGATGACTTGGGACAAGCACTGACTTTTATTTTGCTTTGTATTTCTTCTGATAGTTTAAGTACATGTAATTGCACATTTTCTATACACAAGTGGCGTACTATTGAAAACACATGCCGGGCTACCGATACAAGATACCAGAATTAGTCTTCAGTTTATCGGATGATGCTGTCCACTTGCAGTTTTCTCACAAAAATGCAGTTATTGCACTAATCACCAAGCATAAAGCAGATTCGTTGCCACATGTGCCAAGATCCTTGACAAGCGTGAGCTCGTTACGACTCCCTTCTCAGTGAGATCGCTAATGACGGCGTTTACACATCCTTATGCAAATCACACGCAATTTCGTGCTGGCCTAATCACTTGTACTAAGACTGATTAGGTAAGAGGGCTAACAGGCAAAACAAATTTCAAAGAAGGAATAACTTTTCTATCCTGAAGCATATTCTTTTCAAGGACTTCTTGATATCAAAAACTGGAAGAATAATGAGCCAAAAGAGTAAACACAGAGAACATTCGGGAAAAAATAGTTGCGCCTGAAAACTTATTGTAATTAATAGCAATACTATGACAACATCCTTCTTTCAACGAAAAATTTATTCAAAAGGTGTCACGGGCGATAGTCTACGCTACGAAAAAGAACTTATTTACCATCTCACAAAGTAGAACAAAATCAAGTTCAAAGGTGCAGCCACAAACGGCTGATTCTTGCTCGTCCTCTCGTTCCTCTTCTCACCCACCCCTTCTCACAAAACAATAGGCAAACAGCATGTGATCAACGGATTAAAAAAGGTACCACTGCCACTGATGGGATCGCGAGTAATTTGAGAATGATGGCTGTAAAAAGAATGCGTAAAAAATATGTTATTTTTCAGATAGCCAACTAAAGTAGTCAGAAGTGTAAATGATATGGAAGGGCGAAAATGGCTTGTAGAAAAAGCTGAGCTATCCGTGTCTCATCCTAGCTGCTGACAATGCCTATCTACCAGAAACCAAAATCACACTTGTGCTGAGAAGTTTGTGACCATGCATCCATTTCCGTCATGCACCAAACAGTTTTAGCAAAAGTATATGTATCAAATTCCTAAAATTTATTCAAATATTGGACCCCCCTATAACAGTGGCGCACCGAGGAGAGCCCCCCCCCCCCTTCCGAGAATGAGTCGCGAATTTCGACAGTTTCCCATGAGTTATAAAAATGTGCAAATGACTTGCGCCACTGCCCTATGAAAACAAGGCATTCAGGTGCCAACTGTTACTGTCCGGTCTCTAAGCATTTTGAGTACTGACATTTGAACTTCTCATTGTCAGTAGAAGGAAGTGCCTGTAAGCTATCAAAAGACGAACTACGCGGCCAACAATGGTTGCACTAACTTATGCTGACAGCAGCCACGTTTTGAATGTTTACAAAATTAGGGATAGGTCGTGTTGCTTAGCATATGCTTGTTTCTGACAAAGTGATCCGAATATGCTTTGCGGAAAATAACAATTCTACATTTGAAAAGGATGCTCAGTCGATGTAGGAAAGCGAAGCGCTCAAAACAACATGGAGCTCATGTAATATGACTAAACAGATTCAGGCAAGGACATAGTGCATGCTTGTGTGTTCGACCCATTATGTGCGCTATGCATCGAAGCCGTTCAAATACATTCTTCTATTTGGATTGAGTTGTAGCTAGGCTTTTCACACTCTTGGAACATAAGCGGAGTGTAGAACGATCTTTTGACTCCCATTGAATAGGTGAATGCATATTTCACAAGTCTTAAAGTTGTAGCTCAGTGCTGGCAGATTCATGTGGGAGTTCCGCGCTATTATGGCGTTGATTGTTCCCGAGGGTGTTTATGGGAGGATCGAGCATATGCGAACGAGCATAACTGTGGCAAGGGAAGCGAAGTCAATTAGTCATCCTGTCAGTGTTACGATAATAGCAAAAAAGTTATAAATGGAGGAAGCGATCATACAGGTAATTTTTATAATTCGTCAGAAAGACGCTATCCAGAAAGATCTGGATCTTTGTATGTTTTTAGGAGGAACAGTTGAGAGTTAAGTGTGATGCAAGTGCGAATATTCTGTGCAAATTTTGCGATCGTGTGACCCCCCCCCCCACCTCTCCTGAAGTTTACATGAGAGAGATTATCTTTAGTTCAAGTGAAATTCAGATCAGAACGCCAAGAAAACATTGTTTGCCCCAAAATCGACTACGCAGAAATTAAATGAGCTGGTTGCGCCCAAGTGATGTCCTACGTCACGCATTCCTTCATCAGCTTACATTCAAGCGTGTTCGCTGAAAATCAGCGTGTTTCCGGTGCCAAATTTGCCTTCAGAACTCTGAACTTAGTGCGACATTTGCGTGTTGACTCGTTAATGATGTTATTTTTCCCGCATGTAAATAAGAGGAATCCATTTAGCCAAGAAGTTCGTCAATGTTCTTTTCGGTGACGGACTACCATTGTAAACCTGAACAGAAGATGAACTGAACTAAATTTCATTAATTTCATATTGCAAGCTCATCTGAACTCAACAACACCAATGTACAAACAATAACTTATAATCTAATACAATAAAGCAGTGGGATCATTCGAGTTTGTTTTCGCTGATTTTCCTTTCTTCTTCCTCTCAGCTGAGATGAAAATGAGCAATGGAGGGAAATAGAGAGCTACTATAGCACCGAGCATCATGTAGAACGAGAAGCCAAGCCTGAATGATCAAATTCGTTACCATTCTTTTTTGGCCCGGACTCTGCAATATCGGGTTAAGGTGTTCGTGACTGAAATGGATAACGAATTGGATTGGATTTGAATGCGTTTGCATTCACGTTGAATTTTGGTCGTTCATTCGCGAAATGGGTTAATGGATACAGCGCAGAAGAACTGTCCTGTCAATGCTCTTTCAAACCACATTTCTCAGTAGCTTGCATAGCTCTTTACCTGTCTCTACTTTCAACACTCCAATTCACAAAAACTCAAAATCGCAAACTGCAAATTCTAACCAGAACCGAAGCAAAACCTTAGATTTGCAAATAGATACGGGCGCATCTAAGAATAACACCAGACTGCTGCGAGATTTCTCGGTTACCGCTGCTCGGTACTCAACCTTATGGGCCAAGTTCTGAAATGGCTGAGAGCGCGAACCGTGGCCGAACTGCCTCGTCGTTTTCTACACTTTTTTGGATATCTTGGGTTACACTCAGTTTGGCAGACAGACGCCCCAACATGGAAAGGAGAGAATGATCCCGCAGTGATGTCATGGAGGCATGAAAATGCTTCTTGACCAATTTTTCTCATAAAAGTCGCCATTTGTCCTGTTTTATTCATGCGATCTTACTTGTTTTTGCTCTGCCTGACCACTGACTTCATGACAGCAGTCCTAAGGAAGCTATTTTGGAAGGTCTGTCACACTTCCGACAACAGGTTCGCCATCGCGGCTTAATCGTGCCGACAATTTCGACTAGCCTGAAACCCAAATGTAACTCCCGGTGTCAGATAGAAGTAAGAAATCAAGTATTTCATGATGAGGCTGTAGCAGAGAGAGCGGTATAGTAGAGGGGGGAACTCACGATATACGAGAAATATGAAATTGGATAAATGATTGATTTCTGCACAAAATCAGTTCAAATCAGCTTTGCACTCCTTTTAAATCCACAGAAACATCGGTTTTTTTGTCGTACAAGTCATTTCAATGCTATGGACCTCTGCATAAACGAATTGAATCAGAGCTTATTCGAGGCGAAGTTATGCTAATGTATAATCTGTCAGCATCAAGCTTATCATGTGTTTTTGCACCTGTAAATTCTATACAATCATTCCTTTTCAACCAGATGCTGCTGTCCAAACGTTCTTGAGCTGGGCTGCAGCATAGTTGCTGGGCTGCCAACATGAGCCGACGCAGGACTGACACGCAATGCCGCATAGTGTTCCAGACACGGTAGCAACTATGAACGCAGTGTCAAGCATTAAACGTGTACCGGCACTAGCACACTTCACTGGATCAACATCTCATTATGAAGTTTGTTATGTCGACTCGGTCCGCGTATCTTGCGTGCCCGTTTGATCCCCGCTTGTTTTCCTCAACCCTAATTGTGTTTATAAAGCCCACATCCAAACGCTACTGCGATGTGAAATAAGCGTGAATCATGGAGTTTCTTTCCAATACATCTCGTTCGAACGAGAACTTTTTTAGCCATGATTCGCAAAGTGCATTGCTAAAAAGCGGTGTTCCGTATAAGAATGACAAGCATGCGTTGTCACATGCTTTGGATTCTGACAAGGGCTTTTATGAGGAGGAGAAACAGTTGAAACCGGCTTGGTAGCAAACACGGAGGATTCTTTTTTTTGTGCTTGATTTCGTTTTCGTAGTAAATGTATCTTGCACAAGAAAAGATGGCCTCATATTCGCAGTGACTATTAATTTTTACCATACTAAATCAGCCACCTGAGTCTTACATTTTTTGGATTTGTTGAAAATATCTGGGCAAAAGTTTGCTTGTCAGTCTTTGCCCTAATCCGGTAATCAAACTAAGACGATTTTCTACTTTGGATACTCTACTCAACCGAAAAAGTTGTAAGTTTGACCACTCAAATATATGACTAGAGTTTATACATCAACTTTGCCACGAAATGCAAAAATTGCTTGCCGTCTTTAGGAACAAGTTTTCCGATGCATAAATTTGGAAAAAAAATATCAAAAAAAAACAGATAGCAAATGCGACTTGAACCTACAAATCTACATGCAGTGAGTAAGTTTGGCAACAGCGCATTCCGTGTTAATGCATGTTAAAAATTTGGGTATTGTTGGAATGAAAAAGCATTTCTAAGTGCTGCAGTCGATTTATCGTACTATATGTCTCCAGGACCATTGTTTGTGAGAAAAGCTCATTGATGTGGGTTGAAATGCAACACTATGTGTACCAATTATAGACCTTGAAAGTCAATAGCTTGAAACATGTAGACACAGCTATTGCACGTTTTGGAACTAATAAATGGGTACTTGTAAGTTATTGATTTTTTGAACCCCAATAGCTCACTTCACTTGTCCTTTCGTCGAGTATCCAGCTTGAACTTGTTCGGGTGTGAGAAGACTTCCCTGCATTGTGCTGTGGTACTGGATGTAGAATATGACACAAGAAGCGGTTAAAGACAGCACTAGAAGTATAATTAAAAATTCGGTAAATGAGGGTATATAAACTTACAAGCTAGCGAGCTCCACAAATATGTGCCAATTGGACCTGCTATTGTATTTTCTTTTGCATTGAACGACGAGAGCAGAGACGTTATGATGCCAACAGAGATCCATAGAATACCAATAGCAATAAAGAAAAGAATGAATATCCATAGTATTCGACTATAAAAGCTGACGTCGTCTTGAATCTCACTGAGAACTGGAATCAGAGCTTCAGGCAATGTCCGAGATTTTACACTTTTGGAGGACATGAAAAAATGACTTTAAACTCCTACTGCAAAGCCCTAACAAATGTTAATAACGTTCTTGGTGATCTTACCTGAGAATGGCATGTATCGTACACCAAATCCCCAGTCAATTTGTCGTATTCCACTGAGTAAACCAGAGTTGACCTTGCTTTGCTTAGTACTCACTCTGTTTTCGTACGTTACATTAGAAACAACCCAGTGTTCGGTAAAAAGTGAGCATACAACCAAAGAAAGGCTGAAAAAATCAATAAGATTGAGTAAAATAAGAATATTGTAACTCACCTTACCAGATAAAATATCAAAGCTAGGAAAACAGCAACTCTTCGAAAAGTCGTTCCCATCCTCTCCACGTTTTCGCGCTACAGGAAACGAAATAATGAAATAGGAAGCTACTCTTATTAGGGTCTCGGAAGGACTACCTTCACCAGCGGAAAATGTCGAGGGGTGTGGTCCACGGGCTTTCACCCATCTCGTAACGCGTTCGGGATCAATCCAGCCCCGGAGCGGGTTGCTGTTAGCATTGATTCGACATCCGCAGAAAACTTCTGGTCGTTCAAAGAAACTGTTTTGACAAAGAGCGCTTTATGTGACGCAGGAACTATGAATGGGATGGTGCACGGAAAAAGTGGGATAGTTCTAGTGATGACTGCCTGACCTCATTCTGATATGTGGCAAACCTCGGTGATGAGGTCCTAAGGAAAAAAGTAGTAGAAGAAAAGAACCTACACAGCGTTCTAGACGAAGAAGAAACCACAAAAGCGTCCTTATTTTGTTTCCAAGATCACTCCTAATCTCAAATACAAATGTCATTGAAACACTTTAATCGAAGTGTAAACACGAGCAATCTCGTCTCCAAGTTCCAAATCACCGATCCATTTTCGCGTTCACATGTTTTGATGCGAAGGGATTGGTCACGGTGTGGATGACCATGCCTCGTTCGGCAGTAAATACCGATCGGTATCGCACGTTCTGGATTATTATCGAATGCACCTCCTGTGAGAGTTTCTCGTTGTTGACTCTTGACCACTGCAGTCTAAGTATGGACCCAAGAATTACGTTCCCGAACCATGGAAGAGCAAAAAAAGAAGGCTGCTAGATTTACTGACGTTAAGCGGGTGAATTGCCTAATTTAATTTCAAAGTTGGTCAATTGAGCTGAATTCTTTCTTTGTTCACAACAATGCTTGGACGTTGTCTAGATTTCCAAGTGTCCATGGCAGTAGAAAATATTCAACAGAAGAACATTGCAAGCAATATACTGACTTTCGCAGGCCGAGATAACGCCATGCCCTTTGATAAAAAATTCGTGTTCTTCCTTTCTGTCGAAAAGAGATTTCTGAGTGCCATTGCCCGCGATTCAAGTCGCAGCAACCTCTCTATCAGGTTGAACCAAAAGTTCACTTCATTTTTGAATCGTGACTCTTTCCACAATGTTTTTGCTTGGCGTTAAATTTGTTAGAAAGGGTGATTCATGCACTTTCTAATGACGCCTTGTTTGCTCTCTGCTAAGCTTTGCCTGTACAGATAAAATTTGGATTTTGAAAATCTTTTGAGGTTTGGCTATTTGGAGCAAGCCCGTTAAGAATCCAAAAGCTGTGCATTGCATGTCAAGGTCATGAAACTTCTGAGCTTTCCTTTCCAAGTGAGCAAAGTTTGCGCTGATCGAGCTCTTCTTTGAAAAGTTATGATTTTTGGCAAAAAATGCCAAAAGATCAATTCCTTAGAAAAAATTTTTTGCACTTTTTCTGGACAAAAAAGGCTTGAAGTACTGGAGTGTTGGAGTGCACAGCACTGTTGGTGCTAATGCGGCCCCTTGAGCTCTTGATGACTAAAAATTTTGCACCATGCTATGGAATTTCAAAAAGGGTGAGAATTCTACACGCGAAGTTGTTGCTGACCCTACATTTGAAACTTGCACTTTGTCATACTTCTCGCTCAGATGTCATGCGCGGTATAACGTACCGGCTAATTCTAAGTCCTTCATAATTGTGATTTTATTTTGGCAGCTTTATATATCAGGAAAAGGTTAAGTAGGGAGCAGTCAACTTGCTCGAAAAAACCACCTACGATAGAATATGAGGGACAAAGCAGCCTTGCAAAACATGATAACAACTTGCCTATTTCATTCGTAATTTAATATCTCTATCACAACTTATAATAACGGGCTGAGGATGTTTACGTCTTTTTGTGTGTGTGTGTTTGTCCGTTACGAAATTCGTAGAGTGAGTTCCAGAACCCAAATTTTGCACAGCGCATGCTAGCAGCATGAAAGCCCGCTATGCAAAAGCACGAGCGGATCCGTTGAGTGGATCCCTCATAAATTGCGCTTCAAACAGATCCACTTGGCTTCTGGCCAGCAATATTGGGCCTGTACCACCACTTTTTTGCAAACTCATGGATATGATTAACAAGCTAATGTGCAAGCCATGGACTTTAGCCCAAAAATTGAACTGAAGTTGATTACTTTACGAAAATGGCGCGAAAAAAATCAGTTGCGTAAATTCAATTTGCCTAGATTTTATCTAATCATTTGAGAAGATTTTTGCTCAGAGATGTAGCCGACGGTGATCATCGTCGTTATGGCGGCTCTTAAACCATAAGAAGTCCAAAAACCGGTTCAAATTTGCATTTATTCTTCTCGGAAAAGTTTCATCCACGCGAAAGTACCGATTCACACAAAAAAGCTATCGGAATGAGTAGTTGTTTACAAATCATTCATGATAGCCTGCATAGCGCGATGAGTTTCAATGTCATTATTATGCAGGAATGATCAAGGCATACAGAAAGTAGGGCCAGTGCGAGCCTCTGCGAAGCAGAGGTGACGCACTGGTATTAATATAACTCAAAAATTGTCAGTTTGGAGGGTATGTGCGTTATAGAAACGAGTGCCGCTAAACTGATTTAATTGAACTTGCACACATATGTTTTCGACCTCTGCGCAGATGATAGGCTAGTTTTTGCGGTGAATCGTTGGGCTATTCTATTGATTTATTGATTTTTAGCACTTTGCAATGAAAATGAATTCTTTTCATTTGCTACCAAACACTTTAATGTAAACGTTGGCGAGAGGATTTATTCTCACCTCGCAGTAAGGGATGCGGCGGCACAAGGCTGTAGCAGGTGAGCCTGCTCCAGGTTTGCAACGCACTATGCGTTAACTGAGACAAGGCCCGGTTAAGGCTGGGAATGCCAGCTAGTATCGAACGGGGAGGATAGATGTTGGCTGAATGAGCAGCTGTTGATGAGCAGATGTTCATGGGTATGCTATGTTACAAGCTATAAAGCTCTGTCAAGTTACATGACGTAGATACTACTTCAATAACCTGGCTAAATTTCACTTTTGATTGCAATCCCTATTGGATATAAGATAGCTCATTTATCAGCGGTTTATGATGGTTCTTGGAGTTCGTATCGTTTCCGAGAGGAAAGGTACGCAATTTTTTGGCCACAGAAACGATATCACACAAGGCCATTCATAATGGTTTGTATATCAAAAAATTAGCCCTTTAATGCTGGTTCGAATATTGTTTTCCATATCTGCGAAACGAGAACCTGGATGGAGTTATAATTATTTTTTCAAGAATGAAATGCCTTACTGCGGAGGGTGTGAAAATCATTAATAAAAATTTTTCTTTCCTCTTCAAATGCTGAATATGATTTAGATAGGTATAAATACAACGTAGACCTTTCAAGATTCTCCTTATTCTCCTTAATAGCTTCAAACGGTAAAATAGACCAAAGTGATTTTAATTACCTAAAAGTACGCAAATTTTTTACGAAAAAAAGTTCATGACTGCCTGCACATGATCATTTCGCAGATTTCGAGCACAGATTTAGAATCAGCGTTTTGAGATGCACCTTATGGTATACATTGCATACCAGATGGCCGGGGTCACCAAGTGTCCTTTCCTTTTAAGTCACTTGTCCCGAGCCCTGATGGTGACAGCCAGACTAAGTTCAGCCGAAATTTTTTACTGAAATCACTAGATAGCGTAATTCGTGAAGTGCTTCAGCGATATCTAGTAATTGCGATTCAAATCAGGTAACACTTCATTCTTATTGATATCAACACAACAGCACGGACCTTGGTGAACACCCTGGCTAGTCTTTTCATTGGTATGCGGATCGCTTATAACTCTCTCCTTCTTCTATAGACAGTATTTTAGAAAAAACCTAAATTTTCAGTATCGAATTAGGCTCCGCTCTTCATTAATCCAAGACTAGGGTAGGAAATTTTGAGAAAAATTTTGCGCTAATGAGGGCATATACTGCTCCGAGAAATGGTCCGAAAAAGCTAAAAACTTACCAGCTTTATCAGCATTGCCATTTTCATATATGAGCTTTTCGCACTATTATAACTTTAACTCAAAAGTAAGCCCATTACATTGTAACTGCGGTTTTTCCGAAGTTCAAGATTCTGAGCATACCATTTGGACTGCTCCACAAACATGTATAGGCTCGTTTACATTAGCGGGTCTACGATCTGACCGCAAAATTTTTAGACGTTTTGGAAATATTCTGTATTGGGTTTGATTTGCAATGACGGCGTTGTGCTGGAAGTTCCTTCCTTAATCCTATAGTAAGTAACAACGGTACATTTGTTTTAAAGTCAACGCTACAATATGCTACCTGGAAGTCCACATGAACTGATGATGCAGTAACTAACGTCCCTTTTGATACATTTTTTGAGACACCTGCACAGGTATTTGCGGTAATTTTGCGCTAATGAGGGCATATAATGCCTCGAAAAATACTTCAAAAAGCTAAAAAGTTACCAGCTTAATCGGCATTGTCAATTTCATATATGAGCCTCATGTAGCGTAGCATGTTTGCCTCTCCCTGACCCACCGTGCATCTGTTACCATGGCTGCACGGTTATTTCCATGCACTGAGCTCTGATGCAGACACTGTGTTAAGAACGCTGTGTTTTTTGAAACCTTGTGCACACTGTCTGAAGATCACTCTTATTTGGTTTTACGATTTACGCTGGGAATCTGCATGTCACAGGGATCACAAAAGCGAGAACTGACTAATGTAGCGCGGCACAAAGACCGGACCGAAATATTTCAAGCAACATTCTGCTCTACTGCTTATCTTCGCGGTGTTCATGAGTGTTCGAGCTGCTATCTCATACTTTATTGGCGTCGATAACCAAATATAACTTGGTCGAAGCATAAGAGCAAGAGATGGCTTGTTTGCGGCCATGTGACGTATGATATACGCGACCAAATTGTAGACTGATTAGTCTACGAAGTAATGATGTTGATTTCAGTAGCTTGTGCACATTCATGTAAGTAAGGAGGACGATTCGCGAAGGTTGTTGCTGGTGGATTCGGATTTTCAGAATGGTGAGCTTGCTAAGATCAAAGATCAAGTAACTTCGCATGCTCGACGTACATCTGAATCATGCCTTATCGCAGCGCTATCTGTGGAGACTATTTACCTATCGTTGTATATAAACCTGCCCTACACAATCTCTCGGCCTCAGCACTTCTGTACAGCAATGTCTTCTCAACACGTTAGTTATTTCCACGGAAAATCGTTTGCGAGAAGTTTAGGCTTATTTATAGGACTGCTCCAAGCATGATGAACATCATCACGACAAGCACGATGAACACCACGAGGGAACTCACACCCATAATCAAGTATGTTTATGCACTGACAATTCCAACAACGCAATAACTTCAAAGTATTAGGTCGGTGCAAAAGTTTTGTCAGTTTTTTCAATCCATCGGCAATCACGCTAGAATCAAGATAAACAAAGACTTCAAAAAGTATCCGATGCAGAATTTCTTCCTCCTTCCAGCTGCTGAACTCCCATTGTGTTTCGTTGCAAGAGTGACGAGATATTTGCTGCAAATTGCAATCACTCGTTTTTACCATGTCCAACTTTCGCTAATTTTCAAAATTTTTGTATGAGATTTTCGAAGGAGCCCTGATAACCAGCAGATAGGGCTAACCTTTTGACAACTTATGCAATTTTTTCTTCTTATCAGCTGCTTTTCCAGATTTTTGCTAAGTAATTTTCTAAGTCTAAAAGTCTAAAAGTCTTGTGTTTTTTTTTCTTTTCTAAATTTTCTAAAAGTCTTGTGTTTTGGAAAAATTGCATAACCTCTTATTGCACCAAACACTGCAAAACCTACAGAAAACTGAAATTTCAGCACACGATTATTACTACCGCTACCATTGCAGAGTGAGTGAGCGATTTTTGCTTCAAATTATGGAGATTCTGAAACATAGGTTACGCCTGTGCGCATTCCTGAAATTGAGAAATACTGCGATTTTTTCCACAAACTTCTCCTGTCTCGGCAAAAAAAGACAAGTATTAGAAAGAGGAGAAAAATCTGCATCGAAAGGTGACTGAAGTGTTTAGCATTTTATGTTCTACGAGATCAAAATAGGCTGAATATGTAATTTGGTCACTTCAAAAAATAAATCGTAGAAATTCTGAAAGACAAGCTGTAGGGCTACAAAAATTTGCTTCTGTTGGCAAAAGGTTTGCCCTATGTGCTGGTCATTAGCGCTCCTTCAAAAGTCCCATACGAAAATTTTAAAAATTAGTCAAATTTGGACATGGTAAAAACGAGTGGTTGTAATTTGCAGCAAATATCTCGTCACTCTCGCAACGAAACACAATGAGAGTATAGCATCTGGAAAGAGGAAGAAATTCTGCATCGGATACATTTTTAAGTCTTTGTTTATCTTCATTCTAGCGTGATTGCCGATGGAGTGAAAAACTGACAAAACTTTTGCACCGACCTAATATAAAAGGTTGTATAATTTAATATTCGACTTCTTAGACTTCGGCCCATGGTCATGTTCATGACAACTCTCACCAAAGCGACGCTCACACACAAGCTCATACTCACGACAGCAAATGCAGCCACCAACTTCAGGATAAAGATCATCACGAACATCACTGATATTCAATAATTTAACTAATGAAGATAACTCTTTGCTTGGTAAACAACACATCAAAGTCTTACCTAATAAATAGAAGCTGTAGCTGCAATTGTTAATATTAGTATGTCGAGCACGGAATAACATTTTTATACACCAGCACATCATATCGTCCTCTCATACCTGTTTTACTCCTTTGTATCTCGGAATAGATCGATTTCAATCGGTGTTAGGGACTTGCTTCAAGGGATAGCCGTACGGTTATTACAAAGAAAAAACTTCAAAGGGGAGAGGTGGGAGATGCGTGTTCCCAAAATCGGAAGCAAGAACTTGTAAAGTTGGTGAAGTGCATAGCAAAGCTGTGCTAAGTGATTGGTAAATTTTATTGTGATATGCAAGCGAAGATGAGCAGCATAATCGACGGAAGTTTCAATAAACCATGAACGGACAGAAGTTGCTAATTCACTGAAATTGTAGCGATGACGATGACGAAGCAAAGACGAAGTTCTCGGAGATGTTAAGTCAGAGTAATCTTCAGTACAACGGGCTAGCGCGAATCACAGTCTTCGATGAAGTTTTAGGTCCATCACAATCATAGCGATGGCGATGAGGAAACAGAGGCGAAGAACGTGAAAAATCCTCTTCCTCTTCTTCCAAATAGACTTCCTCGGCTAGCAAAGGCGGTGAGATGCAGCGCGCACAATTAGGCTTTTTATCATGAATTTCGATTACGGATTGTCGATGACTCTAGAACTCATAACTTGTCAAAACTTTGCGTAGGTATAGTAGTTTCCCCGACCTGTGCAAACGTTTTGACTTAAGCAATAATCGCGAAACCGAACGAACAGGATCGTTGTCAGCCACATACTTTGTGCGATTCAGTCTTAATAAACAAGAATGGTTGAGAACAGGGTTTCATGCTATTTTAGCTTTTTATATACTTTCCAGCTAGGTAAACCTAGCCAACGTCACTTTACCTCATGGCATACTCACTTAGCACTTCCTTTTCATGTTGCCAAGGTTGTATGTAACTGTGTCAGGTTGTCAGTGCCGTAGAAGAGTTCACCGTTTCGAGCCATAAAGGAGTAAACGGCGACTAGCTTACTCATGCTTACAACAACAAACGAAGCTATGAACTAGAAGACTGTTCCACAAGACGAAAAACAAGAAAAGAAGTGTTCGGAAAATGTTGTAGAAAACTTGAGTCAGAATTCTGTCGAAAAAAAAGCTTACAATCAGTCTAGAGCGTTAGCTTGTAACTCCTTGGAAGAGAATTTATTCTTTGCCTTCTACGCCATTGACCCAAGATCGGTGGTTTCCACTAGTTTTCCTCCCTTTAGCAGCTACCATTTCAATCTTTCACAGGCTGTCTACTCAACTAATGCAACACTTTAGTCAACAAATCTTTCGCAATGACTCCACAAAATTGACCCTCGATATGGATTTTGCATTATCATTCACCAAATGATCTTTGATTTGCCCAAGATCTACAGTTCATCACGATAGGTTGAGTATGCCTTTTCTACAGTTGTAATCGCATAATATCTTCTTATTAGTGTGAGTACTCTTAGACCTATCAAGTCCGACCAGTTATGTCGTAAAAATGAGAATTACCCAGCTGCGCAATGTCCATATCACCAGAATACATCTAATCGAATTTATGTTTTCCCCATGAAATCGGTCTTTTTTGGGAAATGAGCGTCTATGGTGTGAGATTAGTGTGGTACACTTTAGAGTTTGTGAATCACATTCAAAGGCTATGGGAAAAGTTTCTCATTTTCCAAGATATACTTCGAGATTAGTTACACCTCTAATGATAGAATGCTTGAAGAATGATCTTGTAAGGTAAAGCTAGTTTCCCGCTATAAAAGGCTCAAATGTGCATGTTAGTGTCAAATGTACACATACTAGGTAAAGGAGCCTTAGAATGCCTTAACATTTTTCATTTTGATAACCTGATATCCAGGCATTGTATATACAGTGAGGTCTTGACGACCCGAATAGAATCATCTGCGCTTCAGACATTCAAGGATTTTTACGGAGCACAGCTTTCGATATGTGGTGTTAGAATATTGACTCCAGTCAAAAACTGTACTGTCAAGTTCATTTAGCAAGCTGGCTCAGATTCGCTTCAAATACACCGTTGTTACTCGAGTTCCTCAAAGTTCCTTAAATTTTTTGAAGATTCAAAAATTTTGTAACATCTAGGATGTCGGCGTTTATGGAGGAATCAGCTGGCACAGTTCTCCGTATAACGATTTCAGAACATAGATTTTTGTGAAGAAAGTGTGCTACCGACATGATTATACTGCGTGAACAAGCATACAATTTGGAAAGAAACAATGGTTTGGGTTATAATCATACACATTAGAATTATACACTTGAACGTTTTATTCATAAAGCTCTAATCGAAACGCAAATGTCACAATACCACTAAAAAACTACACAAGGTTTATCCAATGTTTCAAAAAAATCTAAATTTCCACAAAAAAGTCCAAAAGTGGGGCAGAAGTTCCAAAAATCTCGAAGAGCTCCACAAAAAGTCTCAAAAATGTGGCAAAAAAATCAAAAAAATGGTACCACAAAAAGTCCGAAACTCGAAAAGTGATCAAGTTTAGAATGAGCAACCAGAGTCGAAACAAGAAATGTACTTACACTGAGTCATGGCTAAAAGTAACATTGGTGTAAAAGGAACTTACTCCTGATAAAATTTTCTTCAAATAGAGACCAATCTTTTGAAAAGTACCAATCCAAAAGAAGACATAAAAACCAAAAGATTCAGGATTTTTGATTTCGAAGTCTTGAAATTCAATAAATCGTCAAGCTTCTAAGTATGGTTATATTCAGATAGATAAAATCGAACTTACTTCGGAAATCTACTTCTTCCAAAAAATTCTAAAAAATTACCGAGTTTATATAACGTAAACGTAAAATTTGTTCATCTTCTGTCGATTACATATAATTTGTTTCTATGATGTATCTTCCATATATCTCAATTTTTCAATGCATGCAGTAAAAATTACGTAATCTGTCATGTGCTCATGCGAAGAACTCATTCCAAAAGTTCAATTCTTCTCTGGAAAAAAAAAATCGCATTTCCTGACAAGAGAATGTTGTCATTTGACACTCACACTTCTTCCGGGCTAGAAACTTGCACCCAAGCCCATTTCCTCCTCCTCGTGTTCTTCTGGAATATTATTTATCACATGCAAGTAGAACTCTCGCAACGATGTTGGATTGAAAACATCCTACCTGAACTTTCTTGGGTTTGCAAAACCTGAAAATGATTTTTTCATGAACTTTTTATAGCACTCCAATAAAAATTACGTTGAAAACAATTTTTCGTGCTTCTCAAATCCTCCAGATTTCTTAAAGGTTTGCACAAGTCTTCTTCTCGTCCATGCATCTGGAAAAGTCAGTGGAATCAGAACAGACTTCTATTAGCGATCAAAGATTCATACGCGTATCAGATTCATTCCTCAACCACGTCAAAAAATTAGCGTACAGCTCTTTGGGAGAATTCTGGAAATACCCGCAGTTCGTTCGTAGATTCGACAACCACTGAAAACACCACATGACTAAAAAGCCAGTTGCAAGAATTTCGCGAGTTTCCAATCAATGCCGGACCGAGTGAGGAGGAGCAGGTGGGGGGAGGGAAGCGCCTTCGACAATAGTTGCGAAATTTTTCAAAGCCTACATGATCTACAAAACTTCTCAACATAAGTTTGTGAAAAAGTCGAAAAAATTCCTAAAACTTTCAAAGATCCGACTTGGTTTGAAAAAAAAAATTTATTTCTAGGAGCGTCTCTTCTTCCAAGCCCTTTTTCGAAATTTCGGGGTTGGATGTGGGCAAAATTTCTGTGAAGCAACCCAAGAGTTTTTCCGGAGTACTGCACGACGGGTCGTTCATTCGTGGAAGAAAGATTTCGTCCCCGCCCCCCCCCCCCCGTCCAAAAAAATCATCAGAAATGGTGACTTGTCGTCGTCCAGAGATATCGTTTGATTCTATGAGTCCTCGGTTAAGCAAGAGTCAATATTGGCACATCACTTCGACACAAATTGTAACAAGAAATGTGATCAAATTTTCAGTCCTCAAAATACTAAAAAGTCCAATAAAATGTAACTTTGAGCTTGATTATCATTACCATTTCTCATCTGCTCTCTCGACTGACTCCATCGCCAAATTTCTATAAAAATACTCCGACTTACGAGTTAGTCTTTTTGATTCAACATATAAATCAGTAGTTGAAAGAGATAAATAAATGAGATTTATTTTTCAAATGGAACCTATGATAATTCCGGTAGAACATCTATAATATATAAAAAGTTCATTGATTGTTCTTGAAAACTTTCAAATTGAATCTTTTATGATATTCAGTGAAAGAAATTCATACCTTATGAGTAAGTCTCTCCACTCGATCTTCCAACTCGTTAATGGGAGTGCAAATATGGTCGATCTTGCAAGGGTCCTCGAGGAACTCATCACCGATCACCTAAACATGATAAATCAACTAAGCAAAGGACAAAGTCAAACTAAACTTACCCTGATTGAAGTTTTCGCTCCAAATTTCCAGCAATAAATACACTGGAATACTTGGTAATTTGCATTCGTACAACCATGGCAGAAAACATAAGCACTCTCAGTTCCTGGAATTGAATATACCAGAACATCGTGCTTTCCTCTTAAACTTACCTGTTTTACCCCTCTATATCTAGGGAGAGACCCGATTTCGGCTTGTGTTAGGGGCTTTCTCGGAGGAGGAACTTCATGCTTACCACATATACACAATTTAGGATTTTTAGGGGGTGGGGAAGACTCCTCTTCCCAATCAGAAAAAGAATAATCTTGTAAAGGGGGAGTGCAAGGTGGAGCAAGAATGGACTTTCCGAGAGTGCGCGGCGAAAGGCTGTCTTCTGCTTCTGGCAGTTCAGAATTTTTACTAGGATGACCGGAAGGTGATACGTTATAGTCCACGAAAGTACCATTGAATGACGAACGAGAATGAGAATGCTTTACAGTTTGAGAGGTCGTAGAATTTGAAATTCCCTCGTCGGAGTCAGAGGCCAGATTTATAGAAGACGGAGGAGTACAACGACGCGCAGGAACAGAGCCTTTTGCATTTGAACCTTGATTTCTCGACAACAACGAATCTTTGTCGGTAGTATGCACGGCCGAAAATGTTGTACAATCATTGACAGAAGTCTCACGAGATGAAAAGCTAGCATTCGATCTAAAGTTATGAGAAGCCATGCGACTTGGACTAAACGAAGACATGCGACGAGGCGCAAAAACAAATGAATGCGTGCGATGGGGTCCCGAAACGAATGAAGTCATACGACGTGGTGCAGGAACAAACGGTTTCGAGAATTCTCCATTGCTTGGCAAACGTCCAGGTGATTTACATGAATAGACCTTTGGATCTTTTAGAGAGTTTAGTGGTTTGTCCTCACATGCAGAAACATTTTCGCGGCTAAGGACCTTACCAGCGACTCTTTGGGAGTGATGCATGCTTAAATTAGAAAATACGATGGAGTTTCACGCTACACACGCTCTTTATATAATAGCCAGCTAGGTCAGTCAGGGTAACGACCTATAACCTCTTGACATATACATGCCTTAGCAGTTTCTTGTCATGTTATCAAGGTCATATGTACCGTGTCACGATGTCCGTATTGCATTAGCGAATTTGGTGCCTCAGGCCTTAAGGACTAATGGGCGAGCAGACCTAGGATAAAAAACGACCTGAAATCGTGAGACGGTCATAGGTAACAGAGTAACAAAAAGACAGCCACGTTCTAGATTCAGATGTTGAAATATCGGAAAGTTTACAGCAGAACATGCCAGCAAGGTTTCAAATAGATCCTTTGTAGGTATGTAGGAATAAAATGTTCACAATATTGATTATGTTGCAAAATCAAGATATTTTTTTTATTGGCCCACATTTTGCTCGAAATTCTGGTGTGTTCTGTCACTGCCTGTAGGCGCAGACACGTGCGTCAGCCAAACAGTCCGATGAATGAACCATCTCTATCAAGACTTAGCACATAATTTGCAAAAGCTGATCTTTCACTTGCCGAAGATTGACTCTGATTTCTAGAAGTAGGTTATACGAGAATCTTTCCTTTCAAATAAATATAGTATCATGAAGTAAGCCTTTCTCAATCACATATGCCAAGAAATTACAACAGAGTACCATGCTGGCACGAAAACTCCCTACTAGCTTGGCATTTCTTGCACGAGAAAGTATTTGAGAGAGAAAAACAACAAAAGAACCACTAGAGACGGTTAGTCATATTACAAGCAGACTTTCGACACCGAATATGACCTCTTTGCGTTACTTTTTTATCAGATGCATCGAAAAAGGAAAAGCAAAGTTCGTAATATTTTGGAAACTTTGAACAGAAGCAGAATAATCTAAAACAAAATGGAATCAGGTCACTATTCTGACAATGAGTTATGTACTGAAGAATGGCAACTTTGAGGAAATAATTTGGTATGTGTGTTGAGAATTTATGAATGCTATAAACTATGTGGGTTTGTTTTTTCGGATTTTTCGCAGTAACTAATATTTGTTAGGACTACTACTCAACAAAAATATATGCTACTCTTGGGTTATTGTAGTGTTTACGGGTGCTTGTGGGAGGGGAGTTTTGTATGTCAAATATAAGTAGGATCGTTCAGATGTTTATGCATCTACCACAAACAGAGAACTCCAAAGTATGTTACAGTGTTCGATCGTAAGTTCCTCTCTTGCTACAATGTGTTTTACTTATCTTCAGGTGCACTCTTGTAGAAGTATTAACTTAGATATGCATTTTGAAGAGAAACACAAACCGCTGTACGGATATGAGTGGGATTATGGTAGACACTTTAAAGGATCTAAGTCATTGAGAACTCTGCTTTGCCCCATAAAGCAGATTAGAGAACCTAAAAACTCCCTATTTTCTACTCTTCCCTATGGCCCGTAGTAAATTCCCTCAGCGTAACTCTGGGACGGACCCAAAGGCCGGGCATACATCATGCGATTTCATCATCTCGCAATTCTCGAAACAAGACAACTGTGACGAGTCCATTGCATGCCGATAAAACCGCATTTCGGTTGTTATAGTTAGTCTCGATTAGTCGTGCCGGGAAAGTATCACAGCTGAAACGCATAATGATTTCAGGCAGTGGGGTGGCAACAGTTGTCTTCTCGGAAGAATCGCGAGGTTGAAATCGCGTGATGTATGCCCGGCTTTTGAGTTAAACCTAGGACCCCTCAGTTTAACAATCAAATTTCAAGTTAAAGCCCGGGAACCTGACCGTTACTGTACGATTCGATTTAATAAGCATATATATTCGATTCTGAGCGGCCAACTTCTCATCGTCAGATGACTTTCATCGCTAAGGCTTCAAAGTGTCGACAATATCCGCAGCCAGCCCTGAAGTAGTACTGCTTCGTGGTTTATTAAAGAGATGTATCAGCTTGCAATATGGATCTGAGAGTCATATCCTACTTGAATTTTTCAATTCCAGCATTCTTCATTTCCGAGGAAACAATAGAAGAATAGCAGAAATAGTGCGGTCCAGGGGATTCTCCAGCATAAAGAAAACAATTCGAACGTGATAAGAGAAACAGTTTGAACGCTGTATTTACGTTCATCATTCTAGATGAAAACTGTCATAAGTGTAGTATCTATAGCAATAATTAGCCAGCTCCACTGAAGGTGGAAATCTTGTTTAACACACTGAATAAATTCTTGCCTCTTTGATTTTCTAACAAAAATTGTCGATTTTCGATAACTTATGAAGACTGACAGCAATGTTTTGATCCAAACAATTAGTCTGGTGCTTCTCATAAATGTTTGATGGAAGTGTTCCTTATAAGCTGAACAGGAGAGAAAAGAAGTGCGGTGTGATGGTCTCCGGTAAGATAAACTTTGCCCTTGTGCTATTTCAAATATGATCCCGTTACTGGAATTTGGCACAGGATGATGAGCCATATCATGATATCAGTAAGTATCTTTCGAACCTTTGAGCATTCGCATAACTGCGCAAAACATCATGTAATCGTACTGTATTAATCGAGTCGAACTCATTTATTTACGTTCCAATTTAGTCAAGAAAGAAGTTTTGAAAACAATTTTTTTCCACCAGAACTGAAACAGTGACAAAAATTATAATCAAAACATAATGCGTTGTACTACCATTTTTCTACACGCTTTAAGCCCACTGATATAGCATTCTCTGTTAAAAACCATGACATAGAGATTAGCATTAACACAGAGCGCAGTTTCAAACATATTAGGAGCCTAAGATTTGCGCTTCGTCAATCGCTGCTTTCATAGAATGGCGAATGTCATGTCCGCAACATTTGACTCATTAAAGTGATATGACTGTTCCTCTGCTTGGCATATCGTTGTCAATGCTTGTTACAGTTAACTCTCCATTTCTAATGTTTAAAGAAGGAAAATATTCATTGTACCGTTTGCTAAACATCCTGACGAGCACTTTGGATACGCAGTTGTTTTTGTATCCTGACGCAAGATTAGCAAGCATCATGCGCAGAAGAGATCATTCTAATTTGGAGAAGAGAAAAGTTGGCTAAATCATTAAAACGAATGAAAAGAAACCGTAATTACAACTGAAAATTTGATAAGGCGATATCCAAAGGAGTGCGTTGATTAGTAGTCTAGAAGAAGGGAGGCGATTTTTCAAATTGCTTTCTTCACTGGACAGAGCTTCAAACGGGGAAGAAATCCACTCCAATAATGTTCGAAAGTTATGTAATTCCTGTTCTTTAGGTAAACGGAAAAATCTAAGGTAATTTCTATGCAGTATTGACACTGGTGGTCTGATTGTCATATACATAGAACACAGGGCGGTAGCTGCTCTGGAGTCTAAACCGCAGATATAGATCTTCAGTCCATTTTGATGTGCTCCAAAATGGCTCGGTGTTAAGATTGCTGCGAACATGAAACCTAGTAGGTATCGTCAAGTCACTTGTAACACAACATGCGTATTGCACGTCATACGCGATACTTGACGGCTTTTGACCAGTGGTTTCAACTTGTTTCCTTGACTCTTTGATTCGATCGCCTATTTATTAGCAAACAGAGCCCATCCACAGTTTACGCTAGAAAAAGGTTTTGCTGTGGTTTTACTATTGAGGATGTTGTCGATGGTCGTGCAATTGTGCACATTCACATATAGGTCGACTCGAGGAAATAGTAAGGGAGCATGTCTACATGGACAAGAATGTGCATATTCAACACTATTTACGAAAACTTCTTTGTTTTTGCCCCAAATCGAAATTCGAACTGTTTCTAGGACTGATGTGCGCGCGCTGGCAAATATTACGCAGCATATTCACAGTAAGTTGCCCCGCGAATTTGTTCCCACTATTCAGATCTCATAAGCTTCTGCTTTCTGATCGGATTCGCAGACCTAATTTTATTTCAAACAAGGAGATCTAAAGCTTTGCAACTGTCTTCAAAGTACCGGTGGTATTTTTAGAACGCATCGCAGAGACAGAAGCGAAAGGAAATTTTTTCCTATTTTGATTTTTCCGGGTAGGGCCAAAAACTGCAACTTTGTGTAAATCTCCAAGGTGTTGGAGATGTAAGCTCATGATTTGCTGTTCCGAGTGAGCAAATTTGTGCTGATTGACCTTTTCTATGAAGAGTTATGAATTTCCAACCAAACACTAAAAGACTTGGCTTTTTCGCAGCAATTTTCGTGAAAATAACTTTCCACAGAGACGCTCAGTTAGCACGAACTTTTCTCAGTAGATCATAAAAGTTCATGAAACTTATATTACTGAATCCCCGATTTTGGCTACCATTTGCAGTAAAACCCTGACTGATTATGCGTCTTCTTGGCCACATATGCGCGATGAAAACGTTTAGAAGCCACTAGGAAAAAATTTTTTTCTGTCAAAATGAAACTAACAATAAGCTCTTGCGATTGGAGCTGCATAACTCCTAAACAGCCATGTGATGCTGATGATGTTTGAGAACTAGCTGAGCAAAAATGTTCATATATCGGCCCTTTGCACAGCTTTAGCATCACATGCAGCTGTGCAAAGATGAATCCATACATGAACATATGCTCTTACGTAAGCAAGACATTGTGTGAGATCTAATATCCATTGCCTCAAAAAAATTTTTTCAGAAACAAACAAGTTACGTCCTTATGAGGAAACAATCTCGACTAAAATGCGAAAGATTTTGAAAAAAGGTAATCTGTTAACCTAGCGTTAGAGAACTGAAGATGATGTTTACACGCAAAATTGCATTCAGTTTTATTCTCAAGCGAGAAAAACCTCAATGATTGTAGCTTTGGGGAGTACATTATTGAGAGAACTTTTTCCCATAGGTTCTCAAAGACTCAATTCTTTGCTGGATTTGGTTAGAAGGGCGATCGATGTGAAGTCGTTCTAATAACATCAAACTATACAGATGATCACCAAATACTTGACAAAAGCCTTGCTTTCAAAGCGTACCGTACGCGGGATAAACCAGAAAGTGCGCCTGTTTGGCAATAGAACTCCTCTGCCTAAACTTTCGATGCACTGATTCCCTGAAAGTTATGCTTTTTTGGTCAAACAGTGCAGAATAAATCCTAATGTGGGGGAGAGGCTGGATGTTAACCACTTTATAGACTTGCTAACTGAGATTGTTACAGTAATCTCGCAAAAAGGAGCATCTTTTTCTATTGTACATCTAAATGTAGTCACTCTTTGGTTTGTTCGCGGGACGACTGAAGTGCGAGTAAGTTGAGCTCGAAATATCAACGTTAGAAGCACTTCTGCACTCCGTTCAATCCCTTCACACTTTCGAACCGTCAGTATACCTAACCGTCTGTTCTCAAAAGCCATGATGCAGATTTCGTATTTTATATATATGCTTGTTTAGTCTTACGAAAAGCTTTTCTTATGAGGAACCATTACAAGTTTCCATAATCCGAACGGCGTAATGCAGATTGGTAAGCGATTGATGAACAAGTAGAAATGTGACCACAATTTTATATAATGGCGTATGACTGTTATAAATGTTATACGTAGACAGCGTGCCACAGGAACCATTTCATCAAAGTTTTATCATATCACATTGTGGGCTTCCATTACTCAACATATTGAGAAGTAGCTTATATTCCTGTAGTTGCTCTGCTGCACTAACGCCGCTTTTAATTCTTAAGCAATTTGAGGAAGATAATCTCATCTACTACTTAGTGTGGCAACCCTGAGTCGAGTTATGGTTTGCATGTTATGGTGGGCATAAGCTTACAAGAGTTTCATACGTGAAAAATGTATCTGCACGAATCCATGCCTTTGTGAAATTGATGAAAATGACGTTTCTTGTCGCACAAAAGCTAGGTGATTAGATGTCAAACATTTTTCTCGATGTCACTAAAAGAAAAATGCATTGATTTTATCCATCCTACAGAAGTAGAGTTCTGGTTGAGCAGATGACCATGACGTATAACTGGTATAAATAGAAAAAAACTATGCTTACCCAAACAAGTTGAAGTTATGCATGTGTGAATAACATATGGCCATCCTAGATCATCCACCATAACCTTCTGGTAAGAATTTTGTGAGAACTTACTTCTACAAGTACCAAGGAATTGCAGATGCGTAATCTACGCAAGAATAAAGATAAACTTTGAAGTTTTCTAAATTTCTCTCACAACGTATTCTCTTATCGACATATTTTCCTGCCCATTTCCTTACAACAAGAAATTTCAAAACCTTCCTGTTTATCTATCGGTTACTACGACTCTCAGTACATGCGTAATCGAAGAGTACAAGCTCATGAAAACATGTACTTGTGATGTTTCATAATCACGCCGAGTGCTTATAATTTGATATTTACGCGTATTATTTATACGGATGATTCATGTCTATGGAGAGTGCATTCAAATCACGAAGTTCATCAAGGAACAATAGGATTTCACTTGAGTTGTGTGACGGTTCACATCGACTTCGTCCGCAGTTTCCGCAAAAATTATAGTTCAAAGCTATATAAATTTCTTACATTCACTACTTGTGGATCCAAGCGCTGACAAACTGTGGACTCCGAAAGTCCCTAGCATGACTGTATTATATCTACACTGCTAGTGAACGTAGTTTTGTAGCGAACGCTGAATGTCGATCGCTTTCGAGGAGGACAGTCAGAGCAAGACAGCGAAGAAATCAATCTTTGCACGTCAACAGGATTATATGCGGTCGTAAACTTAACGCTTTACGCCAGAAAACTAACTATAAACTAAACCGAATGCCGCTCTTTTGTACATCTTGTGAATTCTATGACCAAAATTGTTGGCCGGCTGGTAAAAATGAGAATTCTTTTAGTCGAAGTCTTTATTCCGAATAAGTACTGACCACTTTAGAAGGCATTAAAGGCTGATTCCAAATCTGTTTTCATTATCTGCCAAGCGCCTTTGGACGCTGAGTCATGGTTGTTGGAGCGAAAAATGCATTCAAAGTGGAATGAACTATGGTCTTATCAGCGCTCATATATAGCAGTATAAGTAGTGTATGAGTAAATTAGAACTTATCCATCAACTGAAGTGCTTCGATGATCATCACTGGACCATCTGAGCAATGCTAGCAATTCTTAGTTTCTATTTGTTCTGGTTTGCGTTCAATCATTCAGCACAAAATACGTCCATAACTCGGCATCCAGAGGCGCTTGGCCGATACCGAAGCCAGAGCGTCAGCGTTCAGTGCTTTTGAAGGTAGTTTGGTTTTTATATGTAGAGGTCACCTCGACTAAAACGACTTCCCTTGTACTGTTACAGCTCGCTGGTAACGCAGGTTGACTTTTTGTTTGTTATCAAACTGCCACTTTATCTTGATCTAAAACTTCAATCACCCAAATGCACCTCAAGGTTTATATATTTCTCCTATATCAGAGAACGATGCACAATTTATTCGGGAACAAACCGTTCGAATCGTATTCTCAACAACCAAACTTTCGCGTGGCGAGCGGATTTATCGGCATTTTCCTCTATAGCACTTGAGCCTTCCTTTGCAGTCGCATCTCATGCAGTCATCTCCCGCCCTGTTCGCATAACACATTCCATTTGGCACATTGAAAGAGTTCTGAAATGTTCTATGAGGATAAAGATCATTTTGATCAGCAGCTGTATTTCTGATAGAAGCTGTTGTGGTGAGTACCGAAACACCCGGAGTATGCCATCAAACTTCGACAGACGATTACTCTCGAGTCTGACATCTGTTATACGACTGCCAATTCTATTTTGATCTACTTCTTTGAAGGTATTCTACTAGGCCCCCTGGCTGCTAAAATCTGGACTCCGGTAAGATTCCTCTATACTAGCTCAAAAGTGGAACAAAAACTTACAACAGTAAGTGCCGTGCTGAGAATGACAAAGAAGATTGCGAATGTAATCGTAAGTATACGCATCTGAAATAAGAATTGTTACACAGAAAAATTACTTGCAGTAGAGGAAGTGAGATGAACTGCAAACTCACTGCTAACCTGACTAAATTTTATTGTTATATGCCGGAGCCTTATTTAATACAACGGAGTGTGGATTCTGGATGCTTTTTATGCATATGATATATGTACTTGGTGCAGATAGTGAAAAGGTACTTTGTATTTTCCTTCTAAATGCACTTCGAACAGAAGAAAACGTTTTGTCAGCTGCATCGAGCCATGTAGTACCTTTTTTCTGTATACAGGGTGTCCCAAAAGCGTGTATTTACTGTTTGATGGTGAATATCTCTCTTTCCATATACTCTTTTGCCAATCATCGAGTGAAGCTGGCTACTTGAACTTACAATACACAAATCACCTATTTCTCTTCATCATAGTAGAATTACGTGAGAAATTTGAAGGGGATTTGAAGCATTTGAGGGTCCTATTTTGCTACAAAAAGTGAACCGATTTACCGTTTTGCTTCATTCATATGTTCTGCCGAGCACACCGTAATCGCCGCGTTTTCAGTGTTGAGCAAAAAGAGTCAGAAGTAAACTTGAGCAGTGATAGCGTCTCAAAAATCATTTTACACAATTTGACAGGTTTTCTTTTTGAATTTTTTTTTTTGTGAAACGGCAATTACTTAACGCTATATGGTAGAATTTCCCACCGTAAGTCTACAGTAACGAAGAGCGATTGGTTTTGCGTTTCGCATCTACCGTGTGTCCAATCTGACAGCATTAAACGGCACCAGAAGTTCGGCATAAGACTTCGTGGGAAGAGGCTGCTAACGATCAAAGAGTGCATAGACATTTTTTAGAGATACCCTTTATTTACGGTGAAAAGTGAAAAGATGACTTGTTTGCAACGCGCATTTAGCGATTTGGCTCCAAATCCGGCATGTATTTGCGCAATAGGGAGTTAGAACAAATTACGAAAATTCACGAGAGACTTATGTGTATAAAGAGCATGCTCAAACTTTTTTCCAAATTGGGTGGATATACATATGCCCTAATGCCATCCTGAGGGTGGCAAAACTCTCACAATCAGTTCACATAACTTCTCCATAAATTTTACATAATCTCTCTGCACCCAAAGTTTATTCTACAGTGATATTTTAGTTCCAAATTCCTCCTCTCCCCTTTTTTAAGGTCTGAATTAGCAGCACGCCGGGCCTCTCAAAGAAAAACGCGTTGCAATCGATCAACCCACACAGCTGCGTGATCAAGTGAGAAATCGTAAAAATTGAGGGGCAAAATCGAATTCTTTTCACAAGTGTCCATTTGCCACCCTCATGCCCGCCCTGGCTTGCGCCAGAGGCAAATGGGCCACTATATGTATCGTAATCTCTGATTAATCCGTGATTAATTTAATCTGTGGTTTCTAATCATTGGAAAAATACGACATGCATAATGAAAAATGCACTAATGCATCATTTTGCATCAGTGGACGTGCTTGGTTGACTGTCACCCATTTCAAGGAAGCCGAAGCTTATATCACTCATATTAAAGGCACCGTTCACCCAAAATGGAGGTTGGCGAGATTATGTTGGCATACTAGTGTGGCCCCCCATACTAGACAAACCTCCAAGCTTCGCCGCAAAAGACTGCTTCTGGAGCGAGAAATCCGCTCCGGAAGTAGCAAGGTAGGCGGGGCGACCCCGGTCGCCCCGCCCACTTGCATGCTTTATCTCGCCTGCGCTTGTTGCAGAGGGTTCTCGAAACAGGGATTTTTGGGAGTTTCGCGGATTTTCGACTCCATATACGAAAAATCAGGGCTTTCAGAAGGCCTGAAGGCGACAAAAACATTGAATTCGAGATTTTGGGTGGACGGTGCCTTTAAAGCTACGTGGTCCAGGCTAGTGAATCGTATGTACGTGAATCATACGCAAAAATTTCACTGTGTCAAATTAATAGGGCGTGGACAAGCTCAAAAGCTGGCTGCCACATACCCCGTAGATTTTGCCACAAAAAAACTTCTGAAGGTCGACATTTGTACCATTAATGGAAATGATTTGAGCGTAGATCTCATTTATCCCACTAATCAAGGTTAAACAGTTAAACATAGACCAATGAGGAGAGTGTCCTGTCTAAGAAGGACACTTCTTCTTTCAACAGAATTGATTACATTTATGTGACACAACACTTGGGTGTAAAATCTCATTTTTTGAAGCTTAGGGCACAACATTTATTATTTATCATGCTAACTACGAAAACAGTGTTTGCATGATATGGCCTTTTTGTTATGTTTACGTAGGTATAAGTTGACACATAGGTAATGTGTTAGAATGCGTGTGGATCTTGCACGATAGGGTCATCTGGCATATTGCTCATATTGTTTATCATATTCATTCGGCGATATCCGCCCAGTTGAATCCGGAAAGGACATTGCTTCTCCCCTGTTCGGAACATCAGTCTACTTCTACGTTGTCAATGTTAGATTATGATAACTACAACGTGCTACACTCGTTCCAAACAGGACATTTCGGTGACCATGGTCTCCGAGGTGAGATGTACAAAGCAAGATGCTTTCTCGGTTTTAGAGTAATACTGGATATTCGAAATCATTGGAATTGGTCAAGTTTCTGCATGCAACAAAACAATATTTGAAGCAGTACTATATTTTACTCACTAACCCGAATTTTGTAGCAACTCAGACAATCCCAAAATACTTCCGGGAAAAACCGAAGTTCTAAAACTTCCAGGAGACACTCCTGTTGAAGCTGCCAGGTAGGGCGCGGCTAGGTAGGGCCGGGTACCCTCACTGTCCAATAGGAGCGTCCGCCCCGGAGGTATTCTTCTGGGCCGGTAGTAAGCCACCCTACCTGGTGGCATCATAGATGCCGCCAAGTTGGCACACATCACGGAAAATTGCCAACTCTGGCGGCAGCTCGCGGATTGGTCTATGTTACTCCGCAGTCCTACGCATATGGAATTTTGATGCCGCTGATAGCCGCAAAACATCGACATAGCGCGGGTTCGAACCTGCGTGCGTCAACCTCAAGCGCCGCCGCACTAACCATTCGACCACTCGTTCAATTTCTGCTGAAAGTGGCAGCAATTATAGAAACACTGCCTAAGTAGTGAGCGCCTGTATATGAGCATGATCAATACAATGCGCGATGGACGCTGACCTGAAAAAGCAGCTGACTGATAAGAACGAGCGAGGAACGTAATCATTGCAAATGAGATTTAAAGCAATTGCAAAATAAAAATGGAGTCATCTATGGTTTAAAAATATTACTAGTCGTTTCTTGTGCATGCATATTATCAATTTGGAGGAGAAGAATCCATACAATGGCAAAAATGATAGATTTTCGATAGAAAATAATTTTTTTGATTTTTTGCTGGACGTAAATTGTGTGATATTGCCGCGCGACGCAAACTTGCAGACGCCGCCAGCAAGGTGCCGCCATCTCGACGTGCTAGGGGCATGTCAGGGTGGTGGCACCTTGATCTCTCAAATGAGCACGCTGTTTCTCGTGCTCTCTGACCTGGCGGCATCCTTCAGTCAGCTCGCGATGTTGCCGCCAGCACTTCCCGCCTACCTCAACAACTTTGTCTAGGGGGGGGGGGGCGGGGTTAAAATCTCCAATTGCCAAGTGAGGTTCTCTAAGGCCACAATGACCTCCTCGACCAGGAAAATCGTGGTGAAAAGGGTTTGGAGGGCACAGATTTGAGGTCGGTGTTCCCGCCGACTTCACGTAAAGTTGACCGCGACCTGACGGCGAAACATGCCGCCAGGTCGGGAGGATTTCTACCGGCCCTGTTGTCCTGCAACAGTGCGATTAGAATTCTAAATTTTCAAAATCAGCCATACTCTATCCGCAAACCGCTTCTTTTTTTTTCGGAGATTAAGGCAGAATGTAATCAGCGTTTCAAGGCATATTTTTGACATACATCTCACAAAAGGCCACGATCCTATTACTTCTCCCGCAAAACCTTCCTTACAAATTTCGGTCAGTCCACTGAATGTTGCGATTTGCACAACACTATGAAGGTGAAGTCGTCAGTTTTGTTATCGTGATGACTCACTCCGTAAAAATGAGCATTGGCAATAAAAGTGCCAAGCAGAGAAACAGTGATATGATTTAGTGAGTCACATGTTATGTGACATGGGATTATGGAAGGAGCGATGAAAAAAAGTGCGAAAATTAAGCTTTCCTACCTCGACTGCGAGATTTCGCGTTTGGGCAAATCTGTGGCGCCGACCAGACCGTTCCCCTTTCCTCTTATGATCGTTGACAGCTGAGCCAACGATCACGATTTGCATGCAGATAAGTTTATGGCATCGATTTTTTGTTGGGAAAAAACGCCCGCGACCTCGAAACTCCCTTGACAAACTGATGCCCTCAATTTTGATGCCGTCACAAAACCTTTATCAGACATTTGATAAGGCTCTCTTCCTCCGGTACGCCGGAAATATGCCGTGCAGATGTCAGCAAATTCTCGAGATGTAATCACGGGGCTGACCCCAAAATCATCTGTTCTCACACTCAAACGCTGACATCACTCTTTACGAGGCTTTTTATCCAATATCTAATGTGAGGGATTGAGGCAGTCGTTATGAGCCAAACTGGTTGCCTTCTCTTTGTCAATGGTATTTCTTTCCTTTGAAGAAGTACCGATCGACAATCGTTTGATACTCAGATTTTGTATACTCAATTACAGTAGACATTTCTCACTATAATACGAATTTACTGTTGACGCTTATTCTTCAGAGCTACCAAAAAATACTAGCTTAATGATGTGAGCACACGAAAAGACATCTAAACAGGACATGACAGCTTATTTTAGTGAAAGATTCGTTCCAACAAGAGACAGGGCTCGGCACAGGTGGCTTATAAGCAAGCTGGATATCGTCTTTTGGACAAAAACCAACGGGTATCGTTCCTGCGATCGGAAAAAACACAAGTCAAATGGGTTTTTTGGTCAACGTTTCCCTTTTGGGTCAAAGGGGCTTCGTAAAATTTCGAGAATGCCAGAGGGGACTTTGTTTTTTGCATTCGAAAAGCCACCTCGTGTCGAGCCCTGACAAGAGAACCAATCTGATTACTAATTATTGGTTATTATAGCATTTTCTTCGATTAGATTGCCAAGCCTCCGGGATTATCATGTTGTTCGACTCTTTGCATCTTACTGAAGATTGATGTCAGTCATCCTTAACTCTAAGAAACAATACTGATAATTTTGTCAACTTTAGACCTTTTCTTCTTTTTCTTACACTTTATCTGGACCTTGCCCTCCATTCTTCCGATTTTCAATATCGGTCACCACTTTCAAGAGCGACTAAGCGTAACTATTGAAGTATTAAAATGTTTTTTTCTAGCATTTCTTCCCTAAACGTGCACATAAGCATATGTCAGATTTCTCTAAAACTAAACAGAAGTTAGAAATAGGGTTTAGCATTGGATAGCAGCTTGTTAAAAATGAAATACACTCTAAAAATTCACTTCATCCTTCGTATCTGCGGATACACTGTTGTAGAGACACAATCTTTGCCTTACATGAAAAGGGAGTATAGGACAAAGAAAGTGGAATAAGTATATTGGGAGGCTAAGAAACTCAATTTCTCTATATGCAGGGCTAGGCACGGCAGATGGCAATAAATAAGGTTTGTATTACTGAATTTTTGATCAGGTTAAAAGATTGAAACTTATTCGGAAATGTCTTTGTTTTCCTGTTGGCACCTCGGGTGACCTCATCGAAACATTGAGGTCGTGCTTGACAATTTCTTGCCAATGCTTGTTCTCATGCAGTGATTCATAACGGCATTGATTTCGCTTCTTTCTTCGAATGGTAGCAACATTTCCTGCAGCATCTCGAAATTCCATGCAGTTTGTGAAAGTGGTTGATTCTAAGTGATGTGTTTTATACAAAATCTCCGTACCCGTTATTTAGTACAGCCTCTTGCTTCTCTCCATGTAGGATTTGATGTTTAAAACATTAATTCGGAAAAAAACTTTTCTGTTAACAGCTAAATGGTATCTGATAAGCGACGTTTTTTGGCCAATACAAAAAGCTCGGTATAGGAGTATTAAACGATAGGACAGGACATTTTAGCACACGCGCTTGTGAGGCATACGGTCTTCTCCAAAATAAACTTTCTTCTCACTTCGCGTCAAATTTCACTATTGACCCCTAGGTTTAGTCGGGCAGATGTAACTACTACATGCATTTCATGTATTAAGATTAGTATTCTTGATATTAGTTTTCAAGGAGCGACTGTTTAGCTAACTCAGCACTTCCTCGCTCATTTCCTCAACAAAAGAAAACTATTCGCCACATAATTTAAAAAAAAAAACAAAATAGCAATTTCTCCTACAGGTGCGAATAGAAGAGAATGCTGAGAGTTTGTCTTAATCAAACATATCACAGTGCATTCAAAAATCATCTCTCCTATAATTCTCTCCTATATTCTCTTCTCTTCGCATAATTTGTTACGAGACAGGCAGCCTACACTCTGAGCTATCAACTAATTTTCTTCTCTTCGCATCGCCTCCAACATAAATATCGCTTCTTTGCAACAATTTTCATTTCAGATGCGTGTACTTGCTATAGTCTTCACAATCGTTTTTGTGATTTTCAGCACAGCAATCATTGTGGTAAGATATTTTGTTCAACTATTTGAGAGAATTATCTGTTCTGAAACTAGCAACATATTACAAACTGTTTAAGAGTCTTTAATGAGCTTCTCCTATTCTCTACATTTAATTTATGTATGATGATATATCACCTTCATTGTGATCATAAAAAGAACATTCCAGAATTCTTTCCCTGTTCCACCGACTGCGATGTGTTATACGGGCGAGGGAGGGGATTGCATGAAATGCGACTGCCAGAAAGGATTCAAGTGCTACAAAGGAAAGTGCCGATAAATTCGCTGGCTAAAAACAAGACAAACAGGAATTCCAAACAAACAAAGCATTCCGAGAATAAAGCTGCGTACTTTTTGATAAAAGAAGACTATGTTTTGAGCACTAAACATATCAGAATCAGAAAAGTTTCGTGCCAAGTCTCCCTTCAAAAGGCGGAACTTCGACTCCTGTTGAAAATGAATTTGGAAGGCTCGGGTAGGAAAGCCTATGTACTCCTGCTGGGCTTGCGATCATGCGGAGTGCCCCAAAATTGTCCTTAGTGTTTGAGTGCTAATAACTCTCTCGTAATGAGGGCTTTCGCGAACCTATGGCTATCAGTTTGTAGAGCTGTCTTTAGCTTAGAAGATATAGTGGATCGCCGATTTCTCTCGTTAACTTTAGGACCAAGCTAGAAACTTTGAAGTTTTTACGTTCTTAACGGCCACATTTGGAATGAGAAGGAGATACAGTCAATTCATAAATTAGTGTCGCTGGTTATAAGTATGAAAGCTGCACGTTGTAATGATGCCTCTACTTCAAATACTTCAAATACTCTGCCAAGTAGGACTACCTGGCAGAGTTTTTGAGTATTATTAATACTTCAAACGTTATGTAACGTTATGTCAGGTACATTGTAACAGCTGTCTTCTCTATGCTTCCAAGTAATGTGATTACACCACTTGAACGACTCGAAGATTTGTACAAAAAAGGAATTAAGCTTGCGTAAAAACCGCGCTGCACAAATTTTTGGATTTTTTTGGAAGTTCTCGGAAGCGGCAGCCATTTCATAATAGCGCTAATTGATGGTGATTCCTACAGTAATCCTACAGTGATAACAAGCGATAAGATTCTGTTGATACTGTAAATCTAAATGTACAGACTAATATCCTTGATTTCGTAACAAAACTTGAGGTAGAGCTATTTGCAGTCAGATAGTAGGGACACTTTTGTGATGTCTTGTGTAGGTTTTGCGGAGCTATTTGTAACCAAACCAGATGTTAGATCGATGAAAAAAGATAAATGAAGGGTGAAGGATATGGAGTCTTCAAAACCCACTGCAGGTATGGGCCGAGCCATTCTATTTCATAGTAGAAGAGGGTACTGAATGCATACAAAACTCTAAGTAACTCGCAGGAGTCAGTCGGTCACCACGTTAGTGCTACAATCAGATATTCTGGTACCAATTACCGTCCATGAAAGAGGGCTACTCCGGTCACTCTGTATAAGATCTTACCGAGAAAATCTTACCAAAATGGATTCATGTGCTTTTTCGCAAACACATGGCGCACTGAGATGTAATACAGTAACACTCGTAATTAGTCAAAAAGTCACCACACTCCGCAGGAGTTCCGCATATAAAGACCTGAATGACTTTCAACATGCATTCGATGCAGCTTTTCCTTCTCTTTCTTATGGATATATTTTTATTCCACAAACTTGTATGCTTTTTTTGATAATTGCCAAAATTCTCCCCTTACCTGCTCAAAGTTAGGTTAATTTTTAAAAAATTCATTCTAAACTTTCGAAAGAATTACGCATGGATCAAATAGAGCAACTCTCGGACTACAAGGCAGTATTGTTAGATTCTTCTAATTTGCTGTTTTAGCTTCAAAAAATTATTTCTTCAAAGGTCTCGATTTTTGGCAAAGTCATGAAACACGCAGCTGCATCAAATAGACGAAAGCTTTTGAAGTTTCTGCGTATTGAACATAAATCTTACACATTATTTGTGCAACATAACCAACTTTGATTCGCTTTGAAAAAGCAGCTTTTTGAAATTTTTGGTCCTTTTACGTGTTAAACTTGATCAAATAGCCGCGGTTATTATTAAACAAATAATTATAACGGACTTGGCAAACGCGGCTCTTTAAAAAATTGGTGCAATATAGCCAAAGGTTTGCTCTACAAAACAGTTACCAGCTCTCTTTGGAAACATCAGAATAAAAAATTCTAAAATTCAAGAAAAATTTGGTGGTACTGCTGAGCTGCTCAAAAAGCCATAGCAATAACATTGCAAACACAGGATAGATCAGAGAACAAGTATAACTGTAAGAAAGAGGATAAAAATCTGAATCAAATGGTACCTAGGCCGTCTATGGATTGGTGTTCTGTGAGTTTTAGTGAGCGATGAAAGAAACAAATAAAACTTTCGGGAACCTAATATATGTAGTCCAAGGACACTGCTCTACTCAACTCGACACGCATCCCTGTTACATACTAGATGGGTGCAAAAAAGTTCGTTCGCCACCTTCCTTCTCGATGGATTCTCTAATTTTGTTTAAAAGAAGAAGCCATGCTCTTTGCAGCAGTGAGAATTAGTAGCACTCGAAGGAAATTACTCAAGATTGGCGTTTTTCAAGCAGGGTCAGAAAAAAATCTGAAAGTATTTTTGTTTGATAGAGAAAATTTTCAACAAAACAATGGCAGCTTTGAATTAAAACGAGAATGATCGAAACTTAGACGCAAAAAGGGAATTACTTCAGTTTTGGAATCTTTGAGCATGCTCGAAAACCTAAAAACGTCACAGCAGAAACCGAAACGGACATGAACATGGGTTTTAGGACTTCCTCTTTACAGCTAAGCAAAATTCGTGCTGATCGAGAGCAAATTTTATTTTCATGGAAATTTCATGCTTTCCTGGCTGCATTTTCCACGAAAATCAGAACTTCTCTCAATCAACGCGACTTTCACTCAGCTAGAGAGAGAAGGTTTCAAAATCCATGTTGATGCCTGTTTCGGGCTCTGCTGTGACGTTTGAAGCTTTTTTGAACATGCTTAAGATTTGCAAAACTGAACAAATTCTCTTCATCTTTTAACTTTCGAACTTCATACTAAAACCCTCGCGAGCTCGCTTATCGGATTATCTAGCACTTTTTGCCAACTGATAAATCATACGGTCGCGTTTAATCCTACTGAATCAAAAATGGTGTTGTGCCCGGTCATTTGACAAGTATTCGACTTGCAGATTCAATGTCAGTGGTTAAGAGGTTACAAAGAAGAAAATAGGGTCCTGATGGGTAACAGTCAGCGATTCTAGCGACAAGCACCGAAGTGCTCACTGGCTTGCTCTTCTTCAGACTGCACCTACTTCCACAGATAAAATATTTCTTGAATGCAATACAATCAACATCAAAGTTCTAGTGGCAAATCACTGCCTGTCGTTCACCCCAGGCATATCCTACATTCGCCGACGCACTGTTGACAGAATGTATAAATGTGGAGATGCTTCAAACATATAATAATGGTGAATAAAGGCATGCAAAAATATTCTTAGCAAAGAATTCACTTCTCCTACTTTCTATAGTCTTTCCTCCTTGGTAAAGCCTATTAGACGGTAGGCACTAATCGGCTTTGTCAACCAAACGAGCACAGTGACGATGTATTTATAAGTCAATCCTGCAGTGCAATCAGAGTGTAACAATGTACTTACAAAATACTTTAATCAAAACAGTACCGCCATGCGGCCATCAAGAACATCGTGGATGTTGCAAGCGAGGGACAAGAACAGATGTAAATTTTCTGCTGGAAAAAGCACGATGTGTAAGCTGCGACAAGCTTTAAGTATTCAAAGTTAGTAACTACTAGTTATTAGTCTTTGCTTTCGTCCACTTTGGCTCATAGCGTATGTAACTGTTTGCAACCATGGCTATTCGATGTTGAGGGTTCGAGTTTCACAAAAATTCCTCTCAAAAGCACTCTTGAGCTTTTGAAGCTTTTTTGTTAAATTCAGAGTTTGTGCATGCTCAGCTTCACTTAGCTCTTACGCCTGCAAATAGACCGAAAGGTTGCTGAAAACACTCGCTGTTTATGTATTTCTCTAGCAAAACGCTTTTCTAGCTCGTTTTCCTTTATATTTACTGCCTCATTACCATCTTTGACATCCATGTAAGCGCATGATAAGGTCGCACTCTTTGCCCACTTTTCGCTTTTTCGGCTTTTTCGGCTAAAGCACATCTCTGCTCAGAAGAATGGTTATCCATACCATGGCAAAGGGATTACTGAGACATCAAGTTGGCACCACTTTCAGTTGAAGAGAGATGTAGTTGTGCGATGTTAGGATCTTCATAAAAAAAGGCTTCCGACGAGGAATATTCGAACAAGAAGGATGCTATCTTTCCCAACCCTATGTTATTGTTTGAGTGGCATCACGACTTCCGCATGAGTTCTCCCTTCATCTAATAAACCTGTAAAAGAGTTCTGATTACGGACGTTCTCCTCCATATCTCCGCTGACAGCGTCCACTTCTAATTCAAACTTCTGATGTTGGGTGATGGGCTGCAGAGTGAGAACGGAGGATGACGAGCTGAGGATATTGGGTCTTGTACGAACTGACGATGTAAAAGACTGGTGGACGACATATCCGACCTCGATGGGCTGTGCCGTACCCCTGTTCACACAGAAGCCCCCTCAGGTACAGAACTTACACTTCTTACAGTCAACATTATTTATACTCATATTACATGGATCGCAAATGCCCGTACTACAAAAATTATCGCGGCAAGATCATAAGGTGAGATCAAAAGGAAGAACAAACTGAAGTGAGACCCCATAACTACAAAAACATGGAACACATTATCTACAAAATTCCTGAAACTGTGGAAATCTCACATGTCACAGTGCACCTTTTCTAGGTAAGTTAAATCAGTATGGATTACAACGTCAGTGATGAACATGATGAACATGCGTATGATTTAATCTTCTCAACGACAAATCCCCAATAGGATAATGCAGCCAGTTGATCACTCCAACAACCTCTGCATCTGACTCCTCCTGAAAAGAGAAAAGTTTATTCTGGAGATGATCTGAACTGGTTCAAAAAAAGGAAGTGTTTTGAATAATTTTCAGTTCGGTACAACTAGTCTACATCTCGTGTTCAGAATAATATAGTAACGGTGGCGAACCGAGAAGAGAAGGGGAGGAGAAGAGAAAGAAAGGGCCACAAATTTTTGGAAGTATTTTACATGGCTTGTAAAATCCTGCAAGTGATATTACTTGTAAATATATTGATTTTTTTAATTCGAAAAATTAAAATCAGTTTTCAAAGACAAAGGCGTGGCCACCATTCGCAAAAAATTTGGAAAGCATCCCAAACATTTTCTTTGAAGGAGGTGCTGACGCGAATACATTCATTCAAAAAATTCTCTGCCCCCCCCCCCCGCTCCCCTCCCCAGGCTCCCCAGGCACTGAACGAAATTTTTCAGATCGCCACTGCTTATGTATAGAGCTTCGAACATTTTGATTATGAGCTCTTCACCGACGTACTGACGTTAGCTTAGAATATCGATGTTCAGATTTGTTTACGGGAAATTGAAGCCTGAGAGCGTTTTCACTGTAGCAATTTCATTATACGACACCGTAATCAGAAAATCCTGAGTTGAAAGAAGGGAGTAAGATGAGAATTATTAGGTCGATGCAAAAATAATGACCGATTTTCAAGCCTTCTTTCAAAGCAACTTTTTTCTATCATCTTCTTTGAAATACAGGTAGCATATCACTGAGAAGCTGTTTTCATGCTCTATATAAAGCTGGTTGAAGCGGGCTTCCATCCTCATCTGTTATAATGTTACTGAGCTTCAAATTACCGCAATACAATACCGCATACAAAATCAGAATTTTATTGTATTCAATTTTCTGGCCAGAATTCAGGCGCTTATAGACGACGGTTCTCCGGAAATCTAGTCATTGTATGCAATAGGTATTTTCTACATTATGCATATTCAACTACATTTTCTGCAGTTATCCAGAGTGAGATATCGGCGGCTCAATATGGGTCGCCGTTGCGGCCATTTTATGACCCTGGAATTTCTTTTGAAGAAGTCAATCGCCAAAGCTTTGCTCAATTCTATAAGCGTAATACTGGTGCATCCTATTAGCAGTTTTTGCAAAAACATTCAACTGTTCAGTACGCGGAAAATCAGAAAATTCTATGTTTGGGACTTTAGGCACTTGAGGCATACCGAAAAAAATGTCGAAAAACTGAGAATTTTAAATTTTAATTTTTCCCTTCTCGTAATTTTTTTTCTCTAAACCCACTCCATCGTATTTGTACTACTGGCTTGCGCAACAAGATAGACCACTTATCATTCATACTAACAAACTTTGAAAGGAAGTTATGAATTGTCAAAACAAGGTTCTAGAAAAAAACCTTTTTTGTTTTTTTCATCCGTATTATTCTGCCCATTCGTGAGGTAAGTACACATAAATGTGCGCTGTATAGCAAAAGGTTTGCTACTTCTGGTGGTCTTTACCGCATTCAGAAATGTGAATTCTTCAAAAGATAGCATGTCAAAACGAGAATTTTGCAAAACGGCCATTATTTTTGCATCAACCTAATAGTAGTTTCTTCCCTGCACTTACAAGAAAGATCCGTTTGGTAGAAGTAGCCTTTTCACATGAAATGGATACGACTATAAAGAGCATCGGACGCTGATTCCAAATCTTTTTTCGTTATCTGCCGAGCGCTTCTGAACGTGGAGACATGAGCGTTTTTTGAGTTGAAAAATTGGATGCATAATTAGCATAAAATTTGTCAGAATTGCTCAAGTGGTCCAATGCTGATTATCAGAGCACTCCATTTGAACAATACCTCCTGTCCAAAATACTCATGCTTAACAATGCTCTATCTGAGCGTTGAAAAGATCGTAAAATTTGATTTTACCTAGGTTATGGGTTCATTTTTCGCACCAAGAAGATATTCATAACTTGACATGCAGAGGCGTTTTGCAGATAGTGAAAAGAGATTTGGAATTACGGTTTGATGCTCTTCAAAGTGAATAAGACTCACTTGGAAAGGCCATTTCGACTAGTCGGGCCTCCCTTGTTAGCTTTTGGGTTGTTCCCTGTTGTGATAAACGATATGGCTCTCTTTGACACCTTGGATTTGGGACTCGGCTAATGATGACCTTTGAATTAAGGTTTGTCGGGATAAACGTTTTGAGAACTTCAGTTTTAGTGATCTGATGATGAAGAGAGTCCTCAATAATGGTCTTGAAATCTTCTAGAAACCCAGTTGCAAAGGGTTTAACGGTTGCAAATTTTGCTATAGTATTTCATTAATTATACCAAACTAACGAATGGAAAACTTCCTCAGATCATATACATGCTAGGCAAAATAATTTGTACTCTATGACAGGGAGGAGAGATTACTTTCTGGTATCATTTACTACCTTTGGAAGAGTATGAGATTTAGGACTATCACTAACTATTGTGATGAGGGCTCACTTTCGAAAGAAGAAGTCAACACCGACAAAGGAACGGTGCGAATGACGGCTACGGTACGTCGACTGAGATGATGCGAGTTTCAACGCTCTTACGTTCAACAATTTGACATCAATTCTAAGATTAATTGTCAAGGTTGCGGATAAAATATTTATCCAGAGTAATTGGAGAGTTGGTACTTTTGACAGTGGAAAAATTTGCCAAGAGGGAGTTTGTAGGAAAGGAGCGAATGAAAAGCGATGGATTTCTGTAACCGGGAAAAGGCTAGGGCCTCCACTGGTCCTTTAGAATAAATCGTTGTCTAACTTGCAATGCTCAAATCTTCTTCCCTTACTTCTTGTCAAGTGTTTCATTTGGTAAGACTGTTCCAACTTTTGTCGATTAACATACTCGTCGATTTGCCTTTCTCTAATTTTCCCCTTCCTTTTCGGTCTTTTCTCTGATACAAATTTTTGACCCACAAATTGATATTTAACCTCTCGGTGAAGAGATTCCTCTTATCAAAAATAGGGTACCTCATGCATCCTAAAAGGAGATGATGACGTTTCATATTCAAAGAAGCGAAAGACTTGGTAAGAACAGTAAGTACAAATCAAAACAAAAAGGGTCTGAAAACTAATAAACGACAATTATCATTGATGGGTTTAGAAAACTATGAAGGAAATCATTGGAAGTATGGTTTTTTTCGCAAAACGTTTCATACGCACTAATCCTATTTTTAAAGGAGCTTAGTCGCATCACCAAATGCCTGGAACAATTGTTTTCATGCCTTTCGCGTCAGTTCTAAGATTTTCAATGCTAGAAACCTTCAGTCAACTCTTTTATTTTATATCGATGATTAGCTAAAAGAAATCATGACAAAGTGATATTTGAGATACTGCATGACTAGAGAGTGAGGAGTGAGGATGCAATTTTGAGACTATACCCACCTTGAAGTCGGAAGCCAGCGACGCAAATGTGCATAAGAGAACAATTGCCACCATTACGACGGCAACAGCCAGGGTGCAAAAGAGTAGGAGGGCCAACAATGATGAGCGTGACATTTGCCAGTAAGAGTGGCAGACATAGCACTAAAAAAATTTTTCAACATTTTTCGTGCCGCTATTTACCTTTCTCTCTACTCGTCGCCAGAATACTACCTCATAGAACTTTTCTCCTCTTGAGTAGAACTCGTCATCGTTCACGACATTCAGCTGCGTTGCGTCTTCTGCCGTTAACAGCCGCCGAGTATCGTCATCTCGATAGAAGTACGATACGCTGAGTTTCAATTCTTGCGGAGTTGACTTGGCCATCTGCAAAGGAAATATGAAGGAGCGCAGTGAGCGCTTGCTATCTAATATAATTGCAACCGAATCTTTTCAAATAATCGTATTCGAACGCGATTCATTCGAACTAGAATAGTCGAATATCAAGGCAAATGCCTTTATTTGTTTACTCGGTTAGTCAGATGAATGAAATAGACCTTTATTCGAATATTTGTTCATTCGACGGATCGAAAAAATGACTTGTTCGAATCCGAATAAGTTGTTATTTCAATTCCTCGAATAAACGGCTGTTCGAATGAAGGTCTTCTTTAATTATCCGACTATTCGAATAATCGAATGCATTTCCCTGAATATTCGACTATTCTATTACGGTGTCCCAAAAGTAAACCCTTTTCTAAATGATTCAAACTATTTTTGTTTTCCTACTAAACCTAGGGTGGCATTCGATAGAGCAGATCAAGCTCTAAAAAATTACCAGCAAGGGCCAAAATCGCATTCCATGTTAACTTTGAAGGCAAAATCGAAAAAATTCTGTCACCAAAAATTGGATTTTTGCGAGAAAAAGTCCTACGGACCTTCAACTTGGTCATTATACCGGGCACAAAGTAGTATTCAAACGCCCTTCACTGATTTTTTTTTCTCGCATAGAAAAAAAGAGAAAAAGGATAGTCCGAAAATGGCAGGCCCCCAGCCCCTTCTACATAACTAAGTGAAACTTTGGAACTTTACCTCTCTGTGTGCTCCTATAATCGAGAAATACCAAGTTTTACATGAAAAACTCGAAAAAAGTGGCATTTTGGCGTTTTCGGACCATCTTTGTTTCCCAATTTTGAGCCCCGCAAAAAATCCGCCCGGTACTTCTTGAGGCACTACTATGTTATACAAAGACCAAGTTGGAAGTCTGTAGGAAATTTCTTGAAGGAGATCCGATTTTGGTAGCTGGGAAATTTTGATTTCTAGCTCCAAATTTTACCTTTACAGCTTAGGTTCTTTGGTGCCCTTTGTAGAGCTTGCATCGCTCTATCGAATGGTACCCTACGTCTGTAAGGAAAACAAAAACAGCTCAGTTTTTTTGAAAATGGAGTATAGTTTTGGGACAACCTTATAGTTCGACTAAATCATTCGAATACGAAAGTTCGAAAATACTCGGTTCCACTTACATTATCTAACTGCTTAACAAATGCATGGTGCGAAAAACTTTCGTCGAGGACACTTTCTTACAAAATTATCTATAGATTAAAATGGATGTAAGAAGTCAATTTCGACACAAATGCCTTCATTTACAAGAATGCGTTGCTTTTTAGGTAAAGACAATTTCAAGAAGACCAAGTTGGCCTCGAATATTCATTCCTAAGGACGCTAGCCGTTGTTAGGCTGCTCATGGGGGAAGAGATTTCAGATTCAGTCTTGAATGAAGAATCAAAGGAAGACTCTTTGGGCATAAAAACGCGAGCGCGGGAAAATTCAGAAGTGTTCGCATAGTAGCAATTTTTCATTGTTTATTGTGGATCTTCCGGAATCCTGTCAAATGAAATGGCTTCCTTTGAGAAGAAAACATCGTCAACTCTCAAGTTTTAGATGCAAGATAGGTTTCGCTGTTTGAGCCTATCGGAAGAGATTAATGAAGCCTGTGGAGCTTTTGGGAAGTTGCAGATAGCAAAATCAAATAACGAGGGATATGATAGTCTCAATGGCGGGAAGGGAGCACCCCCAAGAATAGATCGCAGAATTTTTGAAAGTGATTCACATAATAAATGAAATGCCATGTTTCGTCTGGTAGTTAATTTGCACAGATTTACTGGAATTTTCAAAAGTTCAATAGCTCCAAAAAAATTTTTGTGGGTGTAATTTTCAGAACCTTGAGAAAATTCCAGTGATACTTTTCTGGAAAAATTTTCTTGAAAGATTCTCTCTTCCCCACCCCGCCCCTGCCTAGAATAGATTACTCGGACCGACACTGTCTGAATTAAGACTTTCTTGAAGTTGAAACTCATTTTTGCAACATTGTCTCAACAGATCTACTCGTTTTGAGATGAAAGGTAATAAAATTTTCTGTAAAGCTCCAGCTCGATGCGGTAATCAATATTGCATACTTTCATCGTTATGTTTTTCTTATTCTTCAAATCAGCTCGGTCTACAGAATTGAAAATTACTTACAAGGGAAAGTTCCCAAGTCAGCTCGGCCAACCCGGATGAGTCATATATCACCGTAACGGGCTTGAAACGCTGATTCCAAATCTGCTTTCCTTCTCTGCGGAGCAACTTTTCGAGGGAAGTTATGAGCGTTTAAATGTCTATATTTGTCATGTTTTGAGTAGCTTAAAATCAGTTTAAAGCTGTAAAACAACACCTAACGAAATTTCATTGTCTGTGTTCCGTCCTTGTAATCAACATACTTGATACAAAACTGATAAATCACTTTTATGTGTTATTGTACAGGTTTCGCCAATTTTAAGCCATTTGAAACATGACAAATTTAGACTTTTAAACGCTCATAACTTCTCTCGGAAGGTCGCTCCGCAGAAAAGAAAAGCAGATTTGGAATCAGCGTTTCAAGCCCGTTACGGTGATATATGACTCATCCGGGTTGGCCGAGCTGACTTGGGAAGTCTTCCACGTTAGGACTGTGCAACAAATGTGTGTCATAGTGCAAAAATTGTTTATGTAGGCAAAGATGCCAGCTAGATGTAGAGTTTCCTTTTGAATATCATCTGCAAAGTTTCCAAAGTAAGAAGTTACAAAGTGAAAAAAAAAACGAAAGGTCACCCTACTTGATAATACCATTTATTGCCGTGTATTCTTCTCCATTCTCGAAGGAAAATTTGATCCAAGTGCAAAACCTTCGAGCGAACGTGCGAAAACAATGCAGAGAATGCAGAAGTTTATTTTCTCCCTTTACATCGTAGTAGGGGTTCAAAAGTACTGCCAACAATGTTTTGAAAATTTAACCAAACTTCAACGTCATGTTTAATCCAGTTCTATGTAATCACAGCATAGACATGAAAACTTTTCTGTACCTGCGACGATCAAGCGGATTTAGAAAATGCATAAGCATGTGCACATATTTGTAAAGTATTATCACCCAAACGCAGAAGAATCGTTAGAACTCAGGGACTAGGAAAATATGAATTATCATGATGACAAGATATGAACCGGTGAGTGAACCAAATTCATAACGCTACACATCTCAGCTTCTACCTCAAAAATTCATCTCATAAGAAGCACTGAAGACTTATTTTGGAAACTGTATTCTCCCCATCGATATCTCTTGCAGCAATGCTGATGAGGCTAAACATTTACTAGCCTCTCTCTCCATGCCTTTCAAAAATCGCCAACCAAAATTGAATCTTAGAATTCCATTCATATATGTGTTTTCAGTTGAATACATTTACTGAGCCGCCTATAGGTTGTAGCATAATCACTGCAGATTTTGCTGGAAAATCACAACTACGCTAGAAATTGATATGTATTTTGGTACGCAACAACTTATATCGAAATATCTGTCAAATTGCTACTCTTCTATCTCTACTAGTAGCGTCTACGACAGAGTCATTAGGAATCGAAGTGCAAAACTAATTTTCTCCGAAAGGTTTGATCTTACAGACAATAATTATCATAGGAGATGGCTGAGTAGCTGGTATAATATTTCTGACAAATGAACCGATTATTCACGTACTTTTGTTCTACTGCACTTCCAATAGCGTCAGCCGAAGCCATTTGCAGTAAAGATTCAAGTTGTGTGTAAGCAGACGAACTACGCATCCACTAACATCAAAGCCTTCCAAAAATAACATCAAAATTATAACGAAAGCAAAAAGCGCCACTGCTCTACACTCAAATGTTGTGGTGCCTAACAATCCTTTATGTATTTGCCTTGTGTATTCGGAAGCATGGTAGCGAAACAAATTGGCATGGAACAGCGAAAACAACCGCCTTTGTCCGCCACTTTCTGCTGGTCCTGGTGAAATATGGAAACTTGATGATTTAGTCGATGAAGGCAATCAAAAGGTGATGCGAGGGCTGCATCCAGCATGTCCGTCCATCAAATGAAATGATAACTTGGTATTAGGTCCAGGAAAATAAGGTATGGAATGCCGTTTTCCATTCATGGTCAGAGGCGCTGACGTGAATGTTATCGTTCTAGATGAATCTTTAGCTTTATATAAAATCTACAACCAATTCTGCTTATGTACTGATGCCAAGATAGTGACATGCGTAACGAGCAAGAAGCATTCATGGGAACAGCAAATCGTTAGGAGTCCATTAGCGCAATTCTTTTGCCGCCTTCCCAGCAAAGAATGGAGACATCCAGTGCGAGGTTATCCATTTTTGATTTAGCTTACATAGACATTTCGTCATCAATGGCAACGGCAACAAGGAAAGCTGCAAAATTTTCCGTAAAAACCTTTTGTAATGAATGACGAAAGACAGACCAGTGGTTAAATAATCGCAAACGAAAGGTTAATTGTCGAAAGAAAAATAACCATGCAAGCTATCACATTTCCACGAGCATCATGTTGTCCCAGGCTTGCACCTGTGAAGAATTCGTTAATTCCTCCGCTTTCCATGGATTTGTCTGACTCAGTATAAAGGGTGTCTCAAAAGAAAGCATCCACCTCTTAAAAATTCTCTTCTCCGCTGAAAATTCCCTTTCACAAAGTCTTTTGCTTAGCTTAAATGCCATTCAGGAGAAGGTTTCCTCCGCGCTTCATTACCGTAGGATTACGGTAGGAGCTTCTAGCATGCAAATGCAATGTACTGTGATTTAGGTCGTTTGCGAAAAAGGTTCAGAAACCTTGTTTAGCAATGTTTTCAGATATTCTGATTCCATTAGACATTTTGATACGAGTTTTTGAAGCGTTGCAAACTTTCAAACACGTCTTTAAAAATTACAGAAAAAAGTTGTTGCGGTTTACCTGACACATGAAAAAAAGGCTTACGGTAAGGCGAAAATTTCATATTTATGATCAGCAACTCAGTTTAGTATAGCGATAAAACCTGTGGCTCGTTGAGTAATTAGTAAT